GTAATGATAATATCTTGTGTGTTATTATGATAATGATTTAGTTTCATAGAATAGTCCATGTTATGATTGTTAATGTTAATGCTATCTTTATATCATTACTCTTAAGTCATAATTATCAGAATAGGAAAAAAAATAACATAATGTTTCCAATAGATTATCAATAACCACAAAACTCTCAACAAAAATAATAACTCCTAGAACACACGAAAGAAAATAGCCATATTAAGAACAGTAAAAAAAAAAAAAAAAAAAACACCCTTACCCCATAAACACCATTTCTTACCAACCCGACCCATACAACCCCACCCCACCCCCGCCCCCGCCCCCGAGAAAAGCCCCCACGCCCCCACAGAAGCATCATAACCTCCAACCTTAACTGTGGCGACAAATTCCGACAACGACTGTGAACGGAGTGGCATGAGTGTGGGCGCAGGAGTGTGTGTGGGAGAGAAAGCGTGCGTGTGGGAGCTCCTTCTCGTGGTCTGGTCTCTTCTTTGTGTTGGGAATGACACTACTCGGGGGTCTTGTGCCATGCGCTGTGCTTTTTTTTCTACCCCGGTTTGTTTGGGTGCTCAAGCTTGCGTGTTTGTGCGTGTGTTTGTTTGTTTATGTTTGTATGTATACAGTTTAAGTATTATATATATGTATGTATATATATATATATATATATATATATATATATATATATATATATATATATATAGAGAGAGAGAGAACAGAGAGATAGATATAGATATAAGTATATAGATATATACGGTTTATGATACCTAGGCCTATCTGTATTATGAGTACTTTGTCGTTGTTCAGCCATAGCCACTTTCTTTTTCTATTATGAAGGTTGTATTTCCTATTCTAAGATTGTTATTGTCTTTAATGTTATTATTCGTTTCTACTCCATTCCTTTGTTCCTTAGATTATTTATCCAATCAGTTTCATTTCACTAGAAACTGTAATTAAATCATTGTTTGTTTACTAAACTGATACACATTATTTTCGATAAATCCATCATCACTCTATTTCCTAAAAAAATAACTAATAACTTTTCTTAACCTTTCCTGTTGTTAGTAAAGAAGGCAGACAGCTCTTCGTGTTAGCATCATGTTCACCAAAAAAGCTTCTCAATCATGTTATTGTCATGTTCTGCGTTTGTCCCGATGTCTTGTGGGGTACAAATCCTCCTTCTTTTTGTGTCTGTCAAGGGACGGGCTCTAAGGTATTAATTTCTTCTCTGAGCACGCAAGCACGTACATGCTTATATATATATATATATATATATATATATATATATATATATATATATATATAGTATATATAGTGTTGTGTGTGTGTGTGTGTGTGTGTGTGTGTGTGTGTGTGTGTGTGTGTGTGTTATATATATATATATATATATAATATATATATATATATATACACACACACACACACACACACACACACACACACACACACACATGTATAAACGTTTGCGTATGTGGAGGTGCGGGTGTGTCCATCCATGTGCTCACTCAATACACTCACGGTCACTTTTGTTTCCTCACCAATCCTTCGCGCCCCACTTTCCGTTTGGTGAACATCCTGCCCGTAACTCCGTGCATTCTGAAGGGCGCAGGATGTCCGCTTTTCATATCCTCTGAAAACTCTTATATAGCTTACGTTTTTCTCTTTATCGCTTCTTGTTACGTGGAAAATTTAGGTAAAGTTTCATCAAAGGACAGGGGATACTATGAAAAAATTATATTATATATATCTAATATGTATATGTATATATATAATATATAATATATATATATATATATATATATATGTATATATGAATATATATATATATATATATATATATATATATATATATATATATATATATATATATACTATATATATATATACATATGTGTATAGTATATATATATATATATATATGTGTATATATATACATATGTGTATATATATATATATGTATATATATTATATATATATATATTATATATATATGTATATATATATATATATATCTGTGTGTGTGTGTGTATATTTACACCCACACACATATATTCGCTATTCGATATCATCCAAGTAATTTTCGATACCATTAAAAGAAGCGGATAAATTCCCTGATATCAATATTGACAGTTTCCAGACACCAAGGCAAGCGTGAAGGCCAATCATGTAAGTCTGTTATTCATCGATTAACTTCTAAACCTTGATTTGCAACCACTAGCTGCGTCCACCTACTCTTATCTTGTCTGTGGTTAGTGATAACTAAGGAAGACATGCAAAAAAAAAAAAAAAAAAAAAAAAATCTCCCTTTTTCGAGTATTTACTTGGATTTCGCAACATGACAAATTTTGACTATGTTTTGTATCTTGCTTCTCCATTGCAACATTAGAGATCTGAAAAATAACCTCTCGCTTTTTTTTTTTTACTGAGAATTCGTCTTCTAATTGCAAACCGAATGTAATTTAACATATTTATATTTAGATTGTTACCTCGCATATTTTTTCCCATATATAGGTATCTCCATGTTACTTCGCATATTTTTTTTTCCATATATCATATAATTATCTCCATATTCAACTTCCATTTCGTCCAACAAACAGATTTTCGTCACACATCCACATCTGTTTTTTTCATCTACCAAAATCGACGTATAATATAACCGCCACGTAATGTTCCCCGTCATGTAATATTCTCCGCTCTGTCATATTTGCCCCACAGTCTCATTACGCGGAACACCTGTTTCATTAGTACGTCGTGACAGTTGTTCGTTCCCTTGGCAGAGATGCAGATGATAAAACGCACATTAATATTCCTTCCCGCTAACCGCCCCTACGCACTCACACACACACAAACACAAACACACAAATAAACACACACACATGCAAACATATATATGTATGTATGTATATATGTGTGTGTGCGTGTGTGTATGGGTGTGGTATGTACACACACACACATATATAAATATATATATGTGTGTGTGTTTGCGTGTGTGTGCGTGCGAGAGAGTATGTATATATACGTATTTGTTTACATACAAACGTACGTGCACTCTAGATACTTACACGGTTACACCTGCAACAAAGGCAAGACCACACCGGACTTCCTGCACAGTGGACGCTCTATTGTCATGTGGAAGGTACATTCAGTGCACATTTTTGGAACATCCATTTAACAATACATTACTGTTTTCTGTTCCACATTAGCGCACGATAGCCATTGTTAGCGGCGACAAGGCTTGCGGTGGAAGGATGCAACTTGGAAAACTTGCCTCCATGTACATACTGTATGTGTATAGTATGATATATACATGTGTATATATATATATATATATATATATATATATATATATACATGTGTATATATCTACTGTACATATGCAGATAGTTACACACAGATATACACA